CCCCAAAACCCCAAAACCCCAAAACCCCACTTAGCAATTTTTATCTCAGGCGGATAAATCATTATTATATACAAATTAACATATTGAGATCATTTTTATATATACTCTGTCAAATCATTGGATGTTACGTCATCCTCTCGAATTCATTAAGAATCTTTTTTATAATCATTCTTCATCGCGATATGCTCTCGACATTCTTGACATGAAGGAATAAATTTAATCATATTCAGCCTTTTTAGATTAAAGTCTCTCCTTGTACATTTTAGGAGGGTCTGAACAAGAGTCTATTAGATAGTTCAGAAAACCCCCAGTAACAGTTTTAATACCCCAGTCAATCATTCCCGCTGGTACGAATTCAAGGTTAGGGTCTGCATTTATGATAAATTTGAATAAGGTACGGTTAGGTCCGATCATCCTCAAATATCCAAATGATTTGTTAAAGATCATCTCTGTAGATTTTTTATTTTTATTTATTTTTGTTCCAAACCAATTCTCACCATCCTAGACTGTCTCAAATGAAAACACGAATGCGTCTTCAAAAGGAAGCATGTACCCTGAAATTTCTACCCAGACTTCTCTATCTTTTAAGGGCCAAGGTGCATTGAATCTTTGATAAAGTAATTACCTCCAAGGTTTATAAGCATTTTTAACCTCGCTTACTGCCAAGAGTGGCACAGAATGTTTTAAAAGATCAGCTTCTCTCAACAAGAGTACAATATTTTCATAGGGGGCTTCAATTATAGCTTCAATCTACTACGTAACTATTTTAAATCCTGGCTCGTTCCTAAAAAACAACTTTTTCTTAGGCTCATTAATATAATAATTCCATCCATCAGTGCTATTCAGTTGAGGGTACCTCAATTCAAAATTTGCCTTGTCAATTTAGAGTTTTTTCGCAATCACTGTGTTTAGGAATTCATCAATGAGATCTTTCTCATTAAAACCCTCTCTGATTTTATCTTCAAAGTAAATTCTATCAGCAGCGGCAGCTTTTTCTAGTGAAAAAAATCATCAAAATAAATTTAATTACAGAAAACGTCCAACAATGTAAATGCTTCATATGTTTTATCGTCATTGAAATCTTAATTTATCTTCTCAACCGATCGTTCAAAAGGCAGAAAGCCATTTTCAAACTTAGCGTCATGGATATGATCCTCTTATTAATCTTCTTCATTATCATCGCCAACGTTTTTAGTAGTTTCTGTCTCTCTAAAATTAACTTCTCGAGGCACTTAAGGTTAGTTATTAGCTAAAGCTAATGTAATCAATGTAAAGATTGCTATATATAAGAAAATAGCTCTCATGCAATTTTATTAATAATATAGGCTAATGTACATAGAGATTATACTTGAATTAAAGTCTAGAATGATTTATTTATCAAATAATTTAAACAAATAACCGATTCCTAATTTATACCAAATAAAATATTCCAGGGGTTTTGGGGTTTTGGGGTTTTGGGGAGATCGGAAGAGCACACGTCTGA